GCCCTAAGGTTACGATCCGTCGGGTTGGTAAAGCAACCAGGATCCTCTTTCCTCCAAGAGCCCTACCGATTGAGAAGGAGATTAAGTTGAAAACAACTGAGATCGGATCTCTCACGGAAATGGTGAGGCCAAAAATTATGTCTTTCTTGTACCTAACCGGAGTAAAAACATCATGACTTTCATCAACAGAAAAACAAACGGCCAGTTTCCCGGCCGAAAGAAGAGGGAAACGAATGGGATAAGACCCATGAGAACTGAGATGAGTGAGACAACGATTCACTACTGGGTCTATATCGTTCTCATCTTTCTTACCTTCTCTCTGATATGCTATATCACTTGGCTTATCTTTGGCCTAAGCTTCTTTTTGAAGATAGGTTTATCTATCGGGGGTCGAGCCCTCTCCTTTGCTTTAGTCAAGTGTGGCCTCTCGGGGGGACTTGCCTGGGCAATAGGATGTGTTTTGCGAGCACTATTCAGTGCCGAGGAAATGCCTCTTTGGATGTATCCATCTGGGGCTGATGCTGGCTCAGGATCAGGTGATGGCGCGGGAGGAAGGGGCTTTAGGTGGACCGATTTATTTGGAAATAGTTCCACTGGTAATTCCGATACCGGCGGAAACTCAGTGAGCTCTTCCGAGCCGAGCATAAATCAACCAGCGCCCCACTCCCCAGAGCCTGTTGCTCCTGAGGTTGATCGAGGTAGGCCCCTCATTCCTGAGGATGAGAATGACAACCACTTGATGCCTGCTCAAGCGCGTATGGAAGAGTTGGCCCATCGCCTCTCAATCAATTCCATTCAGAAAAACTTGAGCCGCGAGGAATGGGGAAGCATTATTACTGCACAGATTGTGGTGGAGGAAAGCATCGAAGCCGCTTTAGTTGACGATGGCTATCCCGCCGCTGCTATTTTGGCCAAACGTCACCAGATACGGGGCTTTATGTTTTATCCAGGAGGGACTTCTTTGACCGAGAAAACATATGTAGGCTATGTGAGAAGTATCGACAACTTGGGTACTCACGCCTCTGTTCCATACAAGCGAGTCATCCAAGCGATACGGCAACATAATTTATCCCTTTAAGGGGCCCTTATACTACTAATGGCCGCACTGTTCCGCTTTCTTGTTTTGTTCCATTCTAGAAAAACAGAGGTAGACAGAACTACTAGGGCTTGATTCCGTTACTTAAGTGAAAGCGGATATGTAGGCAAGTACAATACTATACTCAGTTGTACCCCAGCCCCACAGGTGTATAAGCATGAAGTGAAGATGAAGTAAGCATGTCCGCAAAGACTACTCGCTCG